TGATGTACCAAAGACCCTTATGTCAACTTTTTCATGAAGCAATTAAAATCTCAGCAAAATAGTTTGTATAAAGAGGCCCAATACTACGTATTCTTTTGTACCAATATAATATATATTTGATAACTTTGTTCATGTTATGTACTTGTATTTCATTTACCATCTCCAGGCCAGTCATTAAATCTTCCACATATTTATTATGGCAAATAGGTAAAATTAAGTCTTCACCATCACTTTTCATATTTTTTTTGTTACAAAAACGTAAGTTTAAATCAATTCAGTCACAGTTATTCCAAACACCTATGAAACAATGCCAATTTTTACCTTTGCCAAAACAAGCAGAAACGTTTTAAGTGCTGTCACACTGTCTTCGTTCATGTTACGATGTATGGCCACTTCCTGTCTGAGAAGATATGTCACGGTCGACTCCAGGTCCTGCATGTACACACCAAGTCTGTAACACAACACAAACTAACAATGACCAAGTAGACCGTCCTTCTGCTAACGTATCAGGGGAAGAAGCTTAGTGTTTATACTCACAGTGATCAAATGAGCTTTAAAACTTTTGAGATTTCTCAGGTTTTGTCTCAAATAGTTTGGGAAGTAAAGCTGTCCTTATGCAGTTTAATGTCAATGTTCAATGTATGAAAGCAACATAAACTGGCAAAGATGATTCGTAAAGATAATGGCCACTTCTGTGTGATAGATGATCTTTACCTCACATCATACCAGTTTGCTACATATATTGGGCAGGATTTGTTTTACAGTTGAAGATTTTAAGGCAATTCTTTGTTAGGGGACAAACGTATGTTTTCATTATTCCATGCTAAAGATCCTGTGTCAATAGGACTTTTTGCTGGTAGAGATGAAAATGATCTCAATATGGTCGTCATGGTGGACCAGTTTTCATTCAGGAACAACTCCAGGTTAGATACAGTACACGGCTGAGACTAGTCATGATCGTGCAATGAGGATAGAGATTATATCTAGAATATTAAATCCATTTTTCAAACATGGATGCCATGACCGCCATTTTGGAAATCAGATCTACCGGTAACCTTTTCACAGGTCATACCCATTGATGAAAACATGTTCATGATGCTGCCATGGCAACTACAAAATCGTTGAACTTTTACTTTCTTTCTGATTTGTACAAAGAAACTTTATTTTGTGTATTTACTATATAACTACAAGAAAGACAGACTTATGTACCTGGTGGTTACTTGTAATTGTTCTCCGTCATCTTTATCCAGCAGCTCTTCCACCACATGATCTGATCCTCCCTTGTCGACTTCCTCCTCTGGGTCCTGTCCTCCCCGAATAATGAGCAATGCATCCTTAAACTGCTCCCTTCGTGTACCCTTCCTGTCAACGGAGTAAAATGAATGAGTTATATCACTAGGTTTCAGCTAGAGATTGAAAATACACGCAAACCATTCAAATCCTAATGGTTTTCTTTTATATTTTTATTATCAACTGTCATTTTTGAAATAAATTATTGAAAATCTTTTAGCTGTTTGGATTTTTAAATGTTTGGAAAACACAGTAAAATAATCCACTGAAGGTTGAAAATGCAACAATTCGAGAGAAAAAAAATCACTATTTGAATGTACATACATGCAAGAATATTCAAATAATTCATTTTGTCCAATATTGTGCTTGTAGTGTCACAGTTATCAACCTGCATTCTGTAAGATACGTGTGCTCATATTTATGAAACTTAAATCTTTCATTAATCATTCTACTGTCTAAAGTGTTTATCCTATAACCATATCCCTGATGCTTTAACCTCTGAAGCTTGAATAAATTAGTATAAAGGGATTTTGTAGAGATAAATGTCAATACCCCATATTATTATCCTGAACAGGAAGTTATCATCACTAGTATTAATGTTTCAATGAATGTTTCACAACCCTAAGATGATTTTAAGCTGGTTTGTGGGAGTTTGTATCACGTGAGCCAAAACATAGTCTATCATACAAGCATCACAAACTAAGACAATTCCTTAGAAATAGACATGTTGTTCTTTTGAAACAGTGTGCAGAAAATTTACAAAACTGAACCCCTTTGCCTACGGATGACTCATATCAAATTACTAGTGGGCCTTTTCCCGTTTGACTACAGGTTGGCCTCCCCTGGTCGAGAGATATTTTATACCAAATTCAGTCAAAATCTGTTAATACATATTTTGGAAGTCCTTTTTTTAATGATTTCCTTTGTTTGGCAACGTATCTGTGATCTCTGCAGGCACACTTTTCATTTATATCAAGTTGTATTCTCCTGGCTTATGAACAACCTATGTAATCCTTTCAGTCCTTCAGAACTGTTAGATGTATTAATAGGTATATAAAGAAAACTGCGACATACAGATAGACCTGTGAAGAAGGAGGTGACACAGCTCAAAAACCCTTTGTCACCAACTTCTAGCATATACAACGCAGTATTTGCCAGTCTGATGATAATGTATGACTAGCTTTTTTTGGGGGTTATATCCACTTTCAGCAAAAACTTCATTAATTAAATATTCATTTTAGTCAGAACAACTGCTTTACCTCAGGCAATACCACAAACACATCAGTGATACATCATTTAGAGGCCAGTGTTCGCTGGAATGAAAATTACTTGATACTATCGAACAAGTCTTCAGGGGAGCAAATCGAAATTTAAAACACAAGGTTCTTACTATAAAACCATAGGCCCAAAGGTCTTAACAGTCACCGGAGTTGTAAACTAGTTACTTTTCATAGTGGAGACAAAAAATGGAAATAATTATGTACACAATGGAGCATACTCATTAAATTCACCAACAAAACCCCCCTAAAAAAACATTCAAATAACCTATTCATTACTAAATGAGAAATTAGATAGTTTTAGTAGGCCCATCCTCAGGACAAGATTGTACGCTCCAAGGGCATGAAATACACAAATACACAAAGTACACTTGTTTTATGAATGATCGACTCATAGGCAGCAATAATCAGGCTGAACATTATTTCGTAGTGCTACTGTTTCACCGAAGATTTCCGTCTGAACTATGTGAGTTGACAAGATAAATACCACAATACTTAAATGCTGTTTTCTGCGCAGCTGGTGGTCATACGTGGTAATAAACATGTTACTTATAAACTAAGTTCAAGTTAGCCTACCCTAACAACAAATTTATTATTTCACTGCAGTTTTTTTTTGGTGATTTATGACAAATTAACGAAAAATCTTAAATGAATAAATTGAAACTACAGGTAAGTAGAATACAAATGTATCAAAATAAGGAATTCTGTCAACTTTCGTTTCTATTTTTCACTGAGTATACCTGTAATGTCATTATCGGTAAAATGAAATGGTCCCTGAGTAAGAAATCAGTGACCTTGATTTTCAATCAACTGACCTCAAAGTTAGCAGTATATATACTCACTCAGCCAGCTGTTGATACATCCCATTTGAATCAAGGAGGTACAGCGAGGGAAAATAATTAATTCCAAACTTGATCATGAGTGGCTTCAGGGCCCGTCTCAGCAACACATCCTTGTACCCACTCATGTCCAGTATCACCTACAAAATAAATTACACTGTATAATACACCAC